AAACAGGACTCCAGTCAGCCAACAGGTGAAAAGGAGGAACCCAGACCAGTGGTCATTCCATATGTTGAGGGGGTATCAGAGAAACTGAGACGTTTATTTTCTAAACATAACGTCCCAGTGGCTTTTAAACCCCAAAATACATTACAGCAAAGACTGGTTCATCCCAAAGATCCAGTCCCCCGGCACAAACAGAGCAATGTTGTGTATGCTGTTCAGTGTCAGGAGGGCTGTGATCAGTCTTACATCGGGGAAACTAAACAGCCACTGGCCAAAAGGATGGACCAGCACAGAAGATCAACATCATCAGGCCAGGACTCTGCGGTCTACACTCATCTCCAGGCCAGCGGTCACTCTTTCAAGGATGAAGATGTTCACATCCTGGATAGAGAGGAACGATGGTTTGAGAGAGGAGTAAAGGAGGCCATCTTTGTGAAAAGAAATCGTCCATCATTAAACAGGGGTGGAGGCCTCCGGGTTCAACTGTCCCCCTCTTACAATGCTGTGATTGCTAGTATCACTCAGCCCTCTGTGAACAGTAAACAGCCATCAGTGTGCTAATGATCCATTGTTAGGCTGATGGTCCTTCTTGAGCATGTGATCAGCTGGTTTTGGTTGTCAGCAGCAAAACTGGTTGATCCACTCTGAGAAGGTGCTATTTAAGAGACTGAGCTGAATACAGCACCTCAGACTGAGGAAGTCTCTTGGATGAGAGACGAAACGTTTCTAGATTTTTTTGCTTTGTTTTGTGTTTTGTTTTTTTGAATGTCCAGAGAACCAGATTGAACTTTTTTGGGCTCCTTTAAACTATTTATTGCAGATTAGGTGTCAGCTCTCAGGCTGCGTGCAGTGGATCCTCATAGTGGCTCATTTCATCCATTGAAACAAACTGCTATGAAGAGTAGCCACTCAAGGTAAGAAAATGTTATTCTGCACTTTCACTGAGATATTTTGATCAAATGAAATTCAAACAGCTCAGAAAGTTACATTATTTTGTGAAAAACAGGAAAAAACACTAAACTTAGATTCTGGTTTTGCACAGTGGTTGATAATTGCAGTACTGCTTTTGTGTATGAATAAATCTTACTGGCAGCAGTCAGCTTAAGGTTTCACATAAATCACATGTTAATTCAATTCAAATTCAATTCAATTAAAAAATACTTTATTAATCCCAAAGGGAAATTAACTGTTGTTGTAGCTGTTATCCTCGTTTCATTAAGATAAGTTATAGATGCTGATGGCTGTGTGCAGGAAGGATCTCTTGTAAAGGTCCATCCCACAGCTGATCCTAAGAAACTGGCTGCAGATTCCGTCCGATCTGTCCATCTAGACTAGGCTGGCCTCTCGGTTCCTCCAGGCAGCAAGACCACATGGATGCTGGGCAGAACTCCTCCCAGAGCCATCTCCAGAACCTGAGTGGAGGCCACTCCTCCCAGCAGCCTGCCCAACTCCTCGTCGCTGCGAACAGCCGGCTGCAGGTGCCGGGGTACGATCCTGTCCTTCTGCTGTCACGAGCCGTGCCTCTCGCCAGCTCCAGGATCTCGGTGGTCAGGCACTGGAGCACAGCCGGCAACGAGACAGGAATGCATCTACGGCACCTCCTTTTCAACTCATTTGAGAATTGGGGCTGTAGCTGAGATATTATTTGAGGTTTTGAGGTG